TGAGTGGAGACTGTACGAGTCGGTGAACGGCTTTTATCTCGGGCTGAACAAGGTCAACTGCGATCAATGACTTAGCCGGTGCTGGTGAAAGGCGGGGGAGGAAAATGACTCATAGTTGAAAGAATTACCACTGTAAATGCCAGCATAACGTCTGTCTAGTATTCCAACCTTTTCGGGCCTTTTTTTACATCGAACTATTAAGTCCTAGAGTAAACCGTAAAGTTACAGTAATCCGACCGTTACATTATGGCTCTCCGAAAGTGCTTCCTAGAAGGAATTTCCGCTTGATTAGTTTGCGAACAATTCCGGTCTAGTCTTTTGCTAAGCGTATGCAGCGCTATGTTTATGGATGTAGTCGTCATCGTCGTGGAACATCTGGTCTGGGTAGATTAGCACCACGAGCAGAAGTGACGCGCAGCTTTGTTACATAACTATGGGGAGCTTTAGCAGCTGCCACGATGCACGGAGCGAGCTTTTCCGACATTTCGCACGGAAAATTAGCATAGAAATAACTAATTACAGGGTACGAAGTAGTCCATTAGTCATGCACGGAGTGCTTAATTCAACGAAGTCAAATTTGATACACTTCAGGTTCCGAATCAATCGCCAGTCAGATCCGAAACGGCAATTTACGATCGATCAGGATGGAACGTTGCGAGTCGCTCAACGTTTGGATCGTGAAGACATCAGTAGCTACAAGCTTATTATCGAGGCGTTTGACGCCGGTTAGTAGAGATTACTCCAATTCATGGCCGTTTAGCTGAAGTAGTTTGAGCCAGCCCTGGTGGTGGAACGATTAGCAAACTAGTCCGAGCGTACGGCGCAGGTAAGGCGGCTGTCTGGGGTCAAGCCTTATCCCCGTAACTCAGCATTCTTGTGGTAGTTTTCGGATATAGCTATCCAGCTGCTGAAAGAAACCCAAAAGGGATTGGTGTACATTTGAGAATACAGATTAGTAAAGGAAAATATCACATATGGAGAATATCGCTTTTCGCAGAATACCCCATCTAAAACGCAGGTTGTGTAGAGGCAAGTGGCACGCTTGCCACGCGCCTGGTCCGGGGATCAAATTTTGGACTGGCTCCCGCCCCGAACCAATCAAGCCTTCTACCCTCCGGGGACGGTAAATTGGTACCAGATTCGTCTGGGAGGATAAAACACTGACTTGTACATCGGCTGGCCCCCGCAAGTCATTGTATAGGCCACATCGCATTCTGTAAGTCCACTACGATTCTGAATGGAACAGGGAAGCGTACCGCATCCTCAAAAGGACTGATAAACGGCGAAGACTTTATTCTTTGCCCTTTGAAGGACAGAGATCGTCTAA